CCATGAGTTTGAAATCTTTACCACAGAATTCAATTTGCATTGCTCAAGAATATGGCAATTTATTGTTTTTTTGTTCCTGTTTGTTTAAGGGGGTTCTAAACTAAGCAATTGACTGAAGATTAATTTTAATTTCTAATTGTTAATGCTTATATGGAAGGAAAGGTGTCAATTGTTAGTGGTGACACTGAGTTTTACTCTAACATTAGAAAGACCGAGAAGATCAGATATGTCTGAACACTTGAAGTAACTTAAAGGTTGAAGTTAAAATTAAGAATGAGAGAAGAAGATTCAATCCGGCTGCCTGTGTCCCATCTTTTCTCGGATAGAAGACGTTATAACTGCGGTGCAGATATTATGCAGCTCTGGACTCTGAGAAAGGCAGCCAGTGGAACAACGATAGGTGCTGAGTAATCAGCCAGTAGAACCCGTTCTTCCAATCCAGATAAAGTATTATTCATAAATCTTAAAATAGTCCTAAAATTGGATGCGATGGGCCACTATCCAAAGGAGCTGAAGGATCTCCCCCTCAGCTGAATTTAATCACCATAACATGCGTTATTTCCTCTTTTATAATGCTAGAGAACATGCCTAGTGAATTACCGCTTCTCTACTTCTTAATTAATTGCAAAGCAAAACAAAAAAGAACTATTACTTTAAAAGCCACTACTTACCTTGAAAAACAATAGAAAAAGCAAACGGACTTCGCCTGGTAATAAAGAAATAAAATACAATCAGCTACGCTTTAGACACCTTCTCATTCTAAACTTTTCTATTCTAACATTCTCATTCTAGGCAGGCAGATACTGGGGATTTCTCAAATGTGAATGACAACACTAAATTCATCTCCTTCAAAACATCTCTCGCACTAATTAAAATTAAGCAGTTAGCTATATAGCGAATGATCAACATCTCATTCTCTATCTTAAGTATTTTACATAAACTTGTAGAGTACTTAATTGTATATTTTTAACGAAAAAAGACAGATAAACCTAAAGTAAAACTAAAAATGTTTATTAACTGAAATTTTACAAAATTTATTAAATAGTGAATATTTTTGATTAATTAGGGTTCAATCATTATTTAACATTTTTTATTTCATTTTTAATTACATTTCCAAAACTTTAGTAAAAGCGAATAGCTAGTTGATGTTAACCTTCGTGTGTTCTAATTACGCGAAATGTTAAAACTTGAATGAGAACATGTGTTTTAAATGGTAAATGTTTAAAAACAGTATCAAATCTTTTCAGCATTACCTCATTAACTAGGTGTCCGTATAAGCCTTCGGCAACTTTTCAAATCGCCTAAGTAAACTCAAGTTTGTCAATTGTACCAATTTTTAGGGAGCAAACGGTACCCGTTTTAATAAAGAAGTGATATTTGTTCACTAATTTTAACGTTTTAAGGGATATGTTAGGTAAAAACTATAAAGGGAAAACAATTCTTATCTCATTCTTACTTCAATTTAGGCAAAGAAAAAATACAATTTATTTTCGTTGTAAAAGTTTTCCGTCACGTATTCATACAGCAAAATAAAAGTACTAGCAACTGGGCTCGTAACAGTTTTTATCTTTTATGATATCTTTTTTTTTTTTTTTTTTTCCTAAATATGTCTTTTGCGTGTTTACTACCCAAAATTTAGTTTGCTATCTGAAAACGTTTTATTAGTAATTCTTTAAGTAATTTTTATCTGCATAGCCTGTGAAAGAAATAATTACTTACTTCCAATTTGTAAAAATAATTAAATATTTTATTTTGTAAAATAAATCATTTATTTAAAAGCTATTATTATTTATTTCTATCGCGTGATTAGCAATAAATTTTAAAACAATGTATTTCGTAAAAAATAGTAATAAAAAGTTTTCAGTCTTATTCAACAAGAACCTAAAAGTAGCTCTTCAGTATGATTTTACCAGAAGACCAAAAATTAATTTCCGTAACTATAAGAACTCTTTATTTATACAGGCCATTAATATGAAAATTTCAAACTGAAATTTTTATGATAAATATTCCTACTATAATGTATGTGTTTCTATAATACAGAAACCAAATATGGGCAGCAAATTTAAGAATTTTATGAAATGAAATTTCCTGAAGTAGTGAATCAGGTAGAAATATAGTATGTTTATTATTACAATGACCGAAACTAAATTTTTATATTTGAATAAGCCAAGACGCCAGTATGTACTTTAGAAATTTCAGCATTTCTTTTTGTATTTCTTTTTTGAGAATAAAAATGTGCGAATTTAATTATTACCGTTAAAATTTAATCTTTAACGCAGATGCAGAATATTAAAAATTTCGTATTTAAGGTGTACGTTATATGCATTCGAAACATCTTTTATTGATTATTTTAACTGTTCAAACGTTAGTACTCTTGCTGAAAATATTATTGTTTCTAAACGTCTCGCCTTTTACACTAAACACTATCCGTATTTATGTATTATCGCGACTACTTTATTAGAAATCGCCAAAGCTTCAGAATACCAAATACTGGAAACCATGCTCGTAACAATTAATCACAAAATCATGCCGCATGACAAATTCAGTTTCAACGTCGTCATTTCCGTATGCATTCTTTTTGTTGTATTCCAAGTTTCAACAGTTCTATAGAAACATTATGATTATGTTTTGTCTTAAATTAGATTCTAAAACTTGTGCTTGTAGGATTTTCCTATAATAGAAGAAAAAGAGGTGAAATTTCTTCAGGAAAACATTATTTTACCCCCAAATAGTTAAAGGAACGATGCTTCGAATTCTTTCACAAAGAGAAGCTTAACATCGTTTTTTTATTAAAGAATGTAAAATAAATTTAACCACGAAGGGAGGGTGTAAAATCAATTATTGGATTGAAAACGAGAAGACATAATTGTGCATAAGCTGATTATAAGAATCAAAGATTTGTGCTTATAGATTTGCTACTAAAATTATTTGTAAATATATTTAGTGATTATATTTCATTAAACGGAACTTTTAGATGCTTGTGGACCAATTCATAAACTTCTCTTTATACACTGCTTGTAGAACAGCTTTTTCAGCAAGTTCGGTTAGTTTGCGGTAAGTATTAAAAAGGCAGTGAGTATTTAATATGTAGTACTTCAAGAGATAAACTGGGAGTATAATTCCTCTAGAGGGTGTCAAATACTATTTTTGAATGAGTTGTTTAGAAACTGCTTGTACAACAGCTTTTTCCGCTGCCATAGTAAAGAGGCAGTGAAACTACCTTTACAGTTACAAAGACGCATTAAAAACTAGTCTGCTTATTATATTTCCAAATATATAATTTTGATTCGATTTACCTGATAAAAATTCATGTACATGTTCACTGAAATAGGTATAAATTAGTAGTTAAACAATTTTAAAATTCATTTCAATAAAATAAAAATACTTAATAAAATTAACCAAAATTTTATGTATTGTTTATATACACGTATTTATATGCGCCTTTATATAATGATTACTTAATTCATTTTTAACAGTTTTATGGGTTTTTTTTATAATTAATGTTGAAAATTACATTGTAGAGTTTTTCAAATGAAGGAAATAGCTTTCAACAACATATTATTATATACATTTTCTAATAATGCGCTTTTAATATTTTTAGCAAAATGTTACTATTATTATTATTATTTTTTTTTTTTTTTTTAGTCCAAAGGGATTTGAATCCCGAAGGACTATTAGTTTCGTTTTGGCATTTTGCGTCGGACTCATAAATGTCGGTTCACTTTTCAAACTGTTGCCACAAAATGTTAGAGTCCTGCATTATATTTGAAGAAATTAAATAATGAAAAATCTGCATAAATGTATGTATATTTCTCGTATTATGATAAAACAACGGTACATAGAGTCATCGAATTTTGAATAACGTAATCCTCCAACGAATATGAGCATGTGGAAGACCAAATTTTAAATTTTAAATTTGAAAATTTTTTATTGATCGATTTCCTATTTTTTAAAACTTTGACGAATTTTTGATTAACAAACTCAAGGATTTCAAAGCGAGCAATGGCAACGTTGTGCAGAAAAAAACATTTTTATCTCCAGCGCGTGAGTCTCTGTATCGGAAATTCTAAAGATATGCTCGTTTTTAAAACTATTTTGCGATATTGCTGTTGCACTGGATCTTATGGTTTAAGTGCGAGGAACATGATTATTAATAAAGAAAGGTAACACACAAAATGTTAAAAAACGCCCCTTTGGACGTAATTTAAAATCTGAAACATTTCAGATTTTTTTTTTTTTTTTTTTTTTTTTTTTTTTTTTTTTTTTTACTAAATCCTTTCTATGGTAAGAGGAATTTTTTAAAATAAGGTAAAATTTGACAATTCCCTCCTCCCATAAAGTTACACTTAATTTGTATTTTGCTGCATAACTTTGAGACTATTTGAATGAAATGTGATTTCACTCTACAAATTTTATGATCTACATTATCTAAATTTCATTTATAAATTATTCTCATTATTTTAAACTGTCGTAATTTACAGTTTTCTCTGAAAATTATTCTAGTGGTTAAATTATCTGGAAAAACCCTTAAAACCTGATGTATGTGGAACACATCAATTATTAATCGCCCTCCTGAATGTTAAAACGCTACTCATATAAATTAAAAACATACCTACAAATGATAACAATTTATAGTTAAAATTATGGCAATAATCTTAAGCAAGAAACTTAATTTAACAGTGTATATTTATCCTTTAATTGCAATATTCATTTTCATTTTTAATTAAATGAAGGACTCTTGTGCACTTATAATTCAGTTTTGACATTGCTACAAGATTCTTTAGTAAAATGAATGATGAAAATTCGTTCTATCCGGAATTCGTTCTATCCAGAATTCAGATTTTAAAATAACACAACTCTTCCCTTCTTTATTAGGTTCTACTCTATCCTACAATTTACAAAGCACGTATTCTTATATCTAACTCACATAATTTAGGCTATTTCTGCCTTTCGTTTGGCAACAGGAAAACAGATTGAAGGCAGCTGAAAATTGTGTTCGTCTTTGATGTTTTGAGTTTGTATTTTGTTGGAATGATTAGATATAATTTTACAATAAGTAAGAGAACTTTTCTTACAGGCTTTTAATAATTACGAAGATGCAAAAATAGTTCTCTGTATAGGTACCAACTGTTCCTTCTTTCGTATCATTTGGATTTATAAGTAAGACTTAAATATTTTTCAGTTAGCTTCAATTCTGATTGCTATAACATGTCGCTCATATTTTTAAAGAATATTAATTATGATATCATTACATTATTTGATGGAAAGTAATTGTTCCAATAGTAAAATATCTTTAGAAAATTGAACTGGAGTTCATTTAATTAAACAACACAATTCAGTATTTACTGTACATTCTAGAATGCACTTAAATTGTTTTCCAGAGAAAAAGAGTAAAAATTTTTAAAAAGGTAATTGTGATTGATAAATAATATTAGACTGCGTCTAATAAAACAAATCCTGTATTTAAAACGTTAAGTTATAAGTATGTTTTGCTTGGTATAAGGCTAGTTTCTAAACTCTGATGATGTGGCTTTCAACATGTTAATTAAAATCCGATGTGGCTTTTAAAATGATAAATGGATGTAAAGTTGGTGGCTAATAAAAATAATTTATTAGAAATAGAATCTCGACTCAAATCAAATTTATAATATTTCAAAAGTATTTGCCGTCTTGCAGTTTAAATATTTTTTGGACAGGAAACATTGTTGTGCAAGCAAAAAAACTCATTTTTACTTAAAAGAATAATAAAATAGAATTGAAAATTATAGCAAAATATTTCAGTTAGATGAAGCTGGTATGTTGAATTATAACGTTAAGCCTTTATTACGTAAACAAAGCATAATGTTTCCAGAATTTCTTGGATATCAAATAACTTTACTCAGCCTAAGTAAATGCGAAATTAAAGAATTAATTAATTCTCCTTTTCTGAAATAAAAAGAGTACAAATTCTCTGCCTATTTGCTAGAGAAAGATCTATTTTTAGAAAACAGAGAAAAATAATATTTGGAGATTAACAAAGGGACACTCGTGTGCGTTAAGACCTTCTTATTAACTTTAACATTGTTTATCATAAATCATCAGGCTTTAGAGTAAACATTCAATTATTTTGCCTATTTATTTTTATGTAAATTAAAAGCCACTCAATAAATAAACAAGTTTTTATGATAAGATATACCTTTACTGGTCGCAGAAACGCATTAATGACGCTCTAATCATACCCACAACAGCATCAGCCTGTTGCTTTTGCTTTCGAACCTCTTTTATACCAAGAAAAAGGTTTTTAAATGCAAGGCTTGTGTTTTAAGTTTCAACAGTTGTCCCCCCGCCCACACCGACAATTATCAAATGACAACAAAAGAAAGACATAACTTACCTGTCAATAAGGATATGCAAACCATCCTATTAGCAACATCGCTGCTGATAATACCGGAAGGGCCACCCCTGTTAACAACATGGCGGATGAGTTACAATCCCTTGTATTTATGCAAAATCCCTCCCAACCATGTCGGAAAACTTAAAGCGATTACCTTCACCCCTCGAAAAGGAAAAATACCACAAACAGATCTTCACTCAGTGCCTCAGAAGTCGACCGCTGGTGGTCTGTTCCATTTCGGGACGTACCATGGTTGGAATGGAGGAAAGCTGGCGAGGTAGCTTCAAATGCGCATGCGTTGTCACCCACGCGGTCCTGAGAAGGGGTCGGTAGGAAGGGAGTGAGAGATGACGATCCGTGGTCTAGTAGTAAAAAGGGGGGGTGGAAGTTGGAAGGAGGGATTTGGTCAGGCGTTGGCGGGTGCTCATGAATGGAGGCGGAAGCCTTCGCCAATCAATGTATGAATGGAAGACGTAGATTTGTGGTGTGAATTTTTAACTTACCTAGCGAGCATATTTAGACTTCACCCACGCATCTTATTTGCGTGTAGTTATAAATACCCGTCTTCTAAAGGTCTTAAAAGATCGAAAGGTACCGTTCATTCGCCTCATTAAATATGGTTGACTAAAAAATGCAAATCCAAATACCATTCCGGTAGATTTCAATTAATTTAATACTGTACATTTTTAGATTACCTGTTTCACAACTCTAGTTTCTTTGCTAGGTTCGATAAGCTCCGAACGCATCTATTTCTTTTATCACGTGTTTTATTTTATTTTTTATTTTTTCCCGCGTTAGTTTAACTCGTTTTTTAAATGGGGAGAGGAAATCTCTTAAAAGGTAATTTATTTTAATTTAGCAAGGTTCAAATAAAGGTCTTTTTAAGAATCTCTGTTTAAATTTAGATTGTTAAAAATATCCTACTGAAGGGAAAAAAATGTCTTAGAAGATTTATATAAAACAAAGATGCCATTCAGCCCCAAATTTTCCGATGCAATTTTGCATATAATTTTATATATATTTTGAATTCTTAAATTCGCAAAATAAAAACTAACCTACCATAATAGAGGTAACAAGATTTCTCTGTTTTATTTAACGATTGTAATTCCGATTTACTGGTAAATCGCAAAAATAGCTGAAATTTTTACCGATAAATCAACTTTATTTTACCTGTAGTTTGGTAATAACATATATTAATATAATATATATATATGTCTTTTTAACTTCAACATCAGTATGTTAAAACAATTATCATAAATTTGAAATATGATTATAAATTTAATGCTTGCTTGTTTTTCTGTTAAAATATTAGCATTATAACCCATTAATCATTATACTCAAACACTTTGTTTTATGAAAGGTGAATTTATATATCGTTAACGTTTCAGTGAAGCTTATATTTGAAGAACTAACAAATAAAAACGCAACATTAGTTAGAGAAGTTAAGAATGTTTTGAAGCATAGCGTAAATAAGAGGTTAAAATACGGGGTGGTTATAATTAAAGTTCCACTTTCAAATGATCATAAAAGAGAAACTATTGGACTAAATGTTATAAAACTTAGCAATCGTGTAAAAAAAGGTCATGGTAATTTATTTCTTCCAAAAAAAAGTTCAAAATCTCACCACTGGGGGGGGGGGAATTGGCGCTGTATGCAATATTATTAAACTAAATAAGGGTCGGAATCTAACTTAAACTTTTTTTCCACGGGTTTAACATGTTGTATACCCTTAAGAAACATGGACCTAAACAAAATTACTATTTAAAGTCGATAAACGTCGAGTGCGCCATCCGTGTAACACAGAAACGGAATGAAACCACGTGAAATGAAAACCACAAATTAGCGATTAGAAAATGTGAGATCGCAAATGACTCGCAAAAGTGTGCACATTCCGGAAATAATTTTCTTACAGATCGCTAATTCGTAATTTTTGAAGCTTGAAATTTGGCTTTACGACAGGAAGCTATAGGTTTAAAACTGTTTTTCCGTTTTAGAAACGAAATTCTCTGTGGAGTGAGGCAATACTGTAATGGCTTGTAATTAATTGGCTTACGGCAAGAAAAAGCAAAGATTTATTCAAATAATCTAAACAATTTGGCTTAATTGAAAGATGCGATACACCGACATGTCCTTAACATTCCTCCTGATATGCTAAAAGCTGCTGTTGAGAATGCAGTAATACGATTTAACTTGCTTTTGGAAAATGGTGAACGCTATATTGAACATGCTTTGTAACATGTTTCAGAAACGACTCAACACACTTTTAACCCATGTCTTCATGTCTTATTTCGGTTAACAATATTGCATACAGCGCAATTTTCCCGCGGTAGTGAGTTTTTTAACTTTTATTTATTTATTTTTTTTTCGCGGAAAATAAATTCCCATGACCACCTTTACACGATTACGTTTGATAACATTCAATCCAGTAGTTTTCTTTTTGTGACCATTTCAAAGTGAAACTTTAATTAGAGCTACCCAGTATTTATTCTGGACTTTTATAAATCTTATAATTCTAACTCAAAACAATAAAATGAAGAAAATTATGAAACTTTAAACAAATTTAGTAAAACTACAGTTGAAAACAAATAATGGAATGAACTGAACGCATATACAAATATGAAAGAGTTACTATTGAAATATAGAAATAACATGTAATAGTGATTCTGAAAATTTTATAGGGCCATCTTCCATCGAAATCTATTGCTATGTTATCAACGAAGGAAGCACTTCAGTTCTTAATAAGACCACAACTACTGAGTTCCATAAGGGATTAATTCTGATGAATAAACAAATAAAACGAATTTTCATAAAAGGATATGAATATTATCAGCAAGGGAAAAAAGAGTAAAATAATGTTAAAATAAAATATAATTACCTAATTGTTACTGAACATAACAACCGAAGTACTAGAGAGGGCTTTCTCTGCGAACGGCTTATCATGTATAAAACTTAAATCTCCATGTAGGAAACTATAGTTTGGACACCTTTCGCTCATGTATTAAGAATATACTTATAAAATAAGTCTTCAACAAATTTTTAATTCAAATGTTAGTAAAGAATTTTCTCAATGTTTTTCATGATAAAAACCAATGTACACTCAGTCTCTCTCTTTCCCCAAAAGAAGTCGAAGAGTTATACATCTCTTGTTCTACTGGGCCGATTGACGAAATTCAGCTTGCATTTTCATGTCTTGAAAGTTCGATTCAGGATATATATTAGATTTAAACAAAGTGCAATTTTAATGTACGTACTTTGACACACATCGGACTTTTTCTAAAATTGCATGCCATTTTTTTTTCATAACTTTGCGTGCGCACAGGTTCGTAATAGATCGAATGCACTCAGAACTGATTTTAGCTTGCAAAAGAAATATTTTACAGTTCTGGAACGTTCCACAAAAATAGTCGTACAGCTCTTCACAGTACCGTAGAGTACAGTCGGTAGCAACACTTCAGACTTCTAAGAACGTTAACACAACGCATTGCAACGCATATCTAAAGAGGAAGTTCACACAGAGCTATCTCAGTACATCAAACATACGCTGAAGTAAACAACTACCAACAACATCTAAGAAACTGATACTCTCTGTGATAGAGTATCAGTTTCAATTACAATATCCATTAAATAGTTTACATAGCTTTCTCTCAGCCGCCAAGAAATGTCTAGTACTTCTGTACAAAATTACTGGAAGACATATTAGGCCAGGTACAGTTACAGTTGCATATGAAATCAATTACCATATCCATTACAGTTATATGGGGACCAGACCAAAATGTCGCTAAATGATCGGCAAGTTTGGCGACTTTTGGTGATTTCTCGTCACCTTTGGCGATAATAATTTATATACAGAACCAGTTTTAAAATCCTTTGCAAATAAAATCAGTTGATGCAATTCGTTAATTATTATAATTTCGAATTCACTGCAGGACAACCCCCTTCCCAAGGACTGCACGTCCCAAGCAGTGCAATCCCTGCACAGAGAGCCATACTTACAAGAATGTAATACTTAAACAATAATTGCAATGAATGATATAAAACAAATCAAATGTTAAATCCGTTTACAAATGCATAAATTTACAAATTTATATACAATATGGTTTGAGTATTCTATTGATATTATAGTATAAACTATGTGGGCTATGTACTATGGCATTAGTAAGGAGCTAGCCTGTCGTAATGAACGATTTTAGGCGTAGTGTTTTAAACTGTAAGTTTAGGAGAGAGTCCTTTTCGTCGAATCTGATTCCATAACCACCGGTGAATCAATGTTTTGTAGCTCTCGTGTCGTATCGGGTCTTCATTTTCTCCTTCGCCAAGCTGACTCGCTCTCTTGCGAAACTGTTCATCACTTCCCACCGTGCCTGGAGATCTCAGAGGTACTCCTCAGGCGACGAAGGCGCATCCGAAGGGTGAAAAAACTACAAATCGCAAGGCAGACGAAAGTCACGACCGAAGAACATCTGAGATGGGGGGAATAGTCGGTAGTCTCGCGGACAACACTGCGATAGGCCAGTAAAAACAGAGGTAACTTCCTCTCCCAGTCTTGTTGGTTTCTGGAAATCGCCAGCGAGAGGTTATTATGGATGGTTCGATTAAATCTCTGTACCATGCTGTCTGACAGGGGATGTAAAGGTGTCATTTGTAATTTCTATGTTGTATCATTAACTCTGCTACCGTAACAGCCTCTCGATCAGGAACAAGATACGCTTGGTAAAGTAATCAATTACAACGCCACTTGGTGTAAAAATCAATGACAATGAAGAAGTATTTTTTGCCATCCGCAGATGTTCCAGGACGTAAAAGGTTATTCGTTGGAAAGGCGCTCCTGTATTATAACGTTGCAACTTCTCTCGGATGCATTTCTTCGGTCCTTTCCAACCCGAAAAGGCATCGTAAGATTAGAATTATTTTTGTTAGCGCTTGCATTTCTACAGTAGAAGCACCCTCGAACTCTAAGCAAAGTCTTCATTATTACAAAGTGGCCTCCAGTACGGCTGTTATGCAGTTCTTTGAGGACACCTGGGAAGTATCGGATGCTATCGGAAAGCCTTTCTATCATCCGAATAGAACTTCCGGTACAATACTCCATTTCACCAGAGAGCACAACACGGTTTTGTCGCAGGACTACAGATCGAAATGTCTTGCCGGATGGGTTTCCTGTTTGAAGATTCCGTTAAATCAGTTATGGGTTTAATGTTGCCATCATCCA